TTATATAAGAAAGCTGGTTTTTCTATAGACTTAGAGAAGAATTCTTTATAAGTATTTAATTAATTAAGCTTTTATATACTATATACTATTTATACTTTACTATTTATGCTTTTAATTTATTATTTTACTATTAAGTTACGTTTTATACTCTAGTATACTTTATATGGGTTTTTGTCTTATTATAGTTTCCCTCTCATATTATATCCCGTTACCTCTAGTTATCTCTATATTATATAACTGTATTATATAACTATTAATAATTATAGCTATACTAATAATAATAAACTAATTATTTTCCTTAGAATCTTGGTTTTTCTCTTTTTTCTTTCTCTTTTTCTTTTCTTTTTTAGCCTCTTCTAATTTATTTTAAAGATACTCTTATTAAATCTATTATATAGTTTAGATATAATAAGAATATCCTGAAAAAAAAACATTTTATTAGCTATTAAGGAAACCGGAATTCCTAAATATTTCCTAGTTATTAAAGCTAATATAGGAAATCTAATAGTATTAGACTTCTAATAATCTAAGGGCTTAGTTTATATATATATTAGTACTAATATATTAAAAAATATTAAGAGAATATCAAATAGATATTTAATAGAATTTAAATAAAGTTTTATTTACTTTTTTATTTTCTCTTTTTTCTTCTAAATAAGTTATTAATTCGTTTTCTAAAATAGAAAACGAATTAGTAATATATATATTCGAGCTACTCGAATCGGAATCGGAATTAGTTATACTAATATCCGAAGTATTAGATCTAGCTTGAGATATATTATAATTATATTTATATCTAAATTCAAAAATTAGTTATTAAAATACTAAAAGCTAATAAAAGGAAATATTTATATATTATAATTAGTCTTTAATCTATTATATATATCCGAAGATATATTACTAGATAAACTAATACTAGTTAATTCTTCTTATTTAATTCGAGAATTAAAAATAAGAACCAAATATAAAACTTTATTTTTCTTATTTAAAATATCTGTTTTAGAATAATATTTTCGAAGCTTAGTTATACCCTTATTTATAATATTTATAAATGCTTTATTCTATTAAATATTAGTATAAAATATTAATAATATAAGAAGAATTTAAGAAAAAACTTATTTTAAATTTCTTTTCAAAATTTTCTAATTTATTATATATTTTAGATATAATAGAATATATAATAGAATAGTTTTCGGCTTATAACTTAGTTATTGCCTTAATAAATATTGAAATTATATTTAAAATATTATTTAAATAAGTAATTTTAATATTAGTTAAAACTAGACTTTTATTTTTAAAAGCCTTTGAATTAGAGCTATTAATAACTACTTTAATAGCTTTATATATATATAAAAAGTTCTTTAATATATAATAAATTAAAGACTATTATATTTTTTGATTTATAAATAATTAGTATTAATTAATAATTTAATAATTAAAGAATTAATAATTTATTAAGTTAAGGTAATTAAGTATTTTCTATATTAAAAGCTTTAATCTAAGCTTCTAATAGCCGTTGGTTTTCCTAATTATATTTAATACCTATAATAGTTTTTTTAACCTTTCTCTAAATTAATAAATCTAGAATTTATTAATAAAATTCTTATAAATTATATAGGAAACTTACTTATTACTTGTTTTTCTTTTTCTTCTTTTCTATTTTCAAGTTCTTTTATTTCTTACTTATATAAATTTATAGAATAAAAAGTATTATAGTTATTTTTAATAAGAGCTTTTAAAATATCTTAAACTACTAAATTTAATATATAAGCTATATAAGAAATATTTCCTTGAAATTTAATACTTTCCTTATTATAATACTTTATAAAAGCCTTTAATAAGATATTATTTAAGCTAGTATTATCTCGAATAATACTAAAAAAATATATTAGTAATTATATAATTAAATTAAATTTGAATTACTTATCTAATAATATTATATTTAATATTATATTATTTTAAAGCTTCTAATAAAATAGAAAGTATATAAATACCGGAGTATATATTATTTAAGTCTTTTATAACTAATAAATAAGATTTTAATTTAAAATTCTTATTTATAAAATATCTATAATATATTAGTATATATTTTATTTAATAATTATTAGAATATATAAATTTATATAGTAATTCCAAGAAACGCCTTTTAATTTATATTTGTCTAAATATCTAAAGTAATAGAAAAGGTTCTTTAAGAATTAATATTTTCTTTTAACTTTTTTTTAATATTTAAACTCTTTTTAATATAGTATAACTTAAGCTTATTTATAAGAGCCTTCGAGTATATAGTAGATATTTAACTATTAAATATTAGTATATATATAAATAAAGAATAAGGTAATAAAAGCTTACTAATTTAAATAAGATATTAGCTTTTTAAAGCTTAAAGTAGTAATAGCCCAAAAAGAGATATTATTATTAATAATAATCTCTTAAAGTAATTAATAGTAAAGTTTTCTTCTAGTTATTCTAATTACTTATTAAAAAGGCTAGTTATAGTTATTTATAAGACTTGACTAAAAGCTTTACTTTTATTTATTAAATATATTAGTAAATATTTCTTTTTAATTAATAATAAAATAACTTACTATTATTATTACTATCCTTAAGATTCTTAAGGTCTATAAATCTATAGAAATGCCGAAAATGAGAGTAATAATTACTTATAGAAGTATATATTTATTAATTAAGCCATGTTTTACTATTAGATTAGTTAGTAAAAAAATTATTAAAAATTAATATATTAACTTATAAATACCCTCTAATCATATCCTTAATAGTATATATACGGAGGTTCTCGATATTCTCTTATATAGGATTTAGCGCCTTCTTTAAGTAGCCTTTCTTAAAAAGAGAAGCTTACTTATTAAATAGTTTTAATTCGAAATCGGGGTAATTTTGACTTATATTAAGCTTGATTAAGGAGTCTTGAGACATTTTCGAGTATATTAAGTATATATAAGGATATATATAGTATAAAGTAATATAATAAGAGTAATAGTTAATTTTTTATAAGTAATTAAAATATAAGAAAGAAGTAAAATCGAGGAAAACAATATATTCTTATAGAAAGTTCTAATATTCTAAAGTCTGCTTTATAATTCTTCTGATTATAAAGGTTTGCTTTAGTCCGAAGATTCTAATTCTTTGATTTCTAATTTTTAGCTCCTATATTAGTAATTTAATATAATTATAATTTACAGAGGTTCTGGAAGTATTATTGAGGTTCGATTCGCTTACCAAGCGCTACTACTACCTGATTGGCTAGTAAGGTGGCGCCAGGTGCGGGACTACCCGAGGCCTTACCTAATTAAGCTAGCTTATCACGAAAACAGATCACGTGCGTTATTCAAGTTATTTATAAATATTTATAAATAACTTGAATAATATATGAATAAAATATAAATAACGAGGTTTATACTTGAATAAAATAGAATAACGGCTATTATTCTATTTTACTCTATTCATTTAATATACTAACTAATAACTCTCCAAAGTTTAAGCTCTTACTATATATACTAAGCTTATAGAAGCTTAAGGGGCCTTATAAGGCCTTTTAAGTCTAAGTTTAATTTATTATTTACTTAGGTACACGTGACTTTCATGAAATATTTTCGCGTTTATATAGTCAAAAATCAAAAAAGTTAAAAACGTCCGTGTACTTTAAACCTCGATTACTAATTAACCACAAATCGCATTAACAATCTGATTAGTAAGTTTCATTCGCCTGGTTCTTTTCTATAATTACATTACTTAGTATTAATTAATTGGGGTTGTGGTTAAAAAGTTATTATGGATACAAAAATGCGACCGTTTTGTCGCTTTTGGATCGGACCGACTGTATGTACAGGGAAGTACAGCAACCTGAGCGTTAGGGGCGCTATTGGTTCTGTATCCTCTATTGCTTTTCAATCCGCTGGGATGTTGAAATGCACGTCCGTCGTATTTGCAATATTGCCGTTGAGAATCCTGATTGTACCCTGGATGACAGGATTATGCGTCGTCGTCGACCGAGCTGAGGAACACGCATCTCGGGAGAGCCTGTTGCAACCGGACATGAATTTCTCCGAACTCAGGCTTCCTTGCTTTCGCTCCTTCAGCAGGCTCGCAGCCTCTGGGAAGTGTGCGACACCTCTTCCGACAGCTGAGTGGATTGGTGTGTTAATAAAAAGCAAGAAGCGATTGTGGCCAACGGTGGTCGTTCACTTAGGACAGCAAACGCCATGCACAGATTGGCGCTGAGACGGGCTGAGCCGCCAGCACGTGGCCCGAAAGTGCAGGTGGTGCCCCATTCCCTGTAACGCAGTCTTTCTTCAAACCGTGTTCCCTACTGTACGATTTCGCAGTGACGAGTAAATTAGAGGCGAGGCTATGGCCGGCCGTAAGTGAAGCTAGTCGCGTACAGTCCTGTAGGTAACTTATCGGTGCAGTGACACAAGCACGGCTCAGTCCGCCGCTTTTGAGGTCAACTTCATCTATCTGACCTCCATCTATCTCTTACACCGAAATGAAAATACGGCATATCTAACGGCGATACGTAATCCTATTCCCTTGCCCAGTCAGCTGTTTTATTGTTAAGGTATACACACTAACGGTTTAAGAAGGCGTTAATGAGCTTGAAATAGCTTGAAAGGCCTGCATTAAAGCGGCAGTGCAAGGCGTTATTTTTCTAATTAAACGAATACGAGGAGCTTTGCTAGTAGGTACTGTAGAAGTAGGCTGCGTGTACGCAAGCAAGGCTGTCGAAAAGCTATCTGCGACGCCTTCTATTTCCAGAGAAGTTGAAATCTATTTAAAGAGCGGGTAACAACTGCTTGGAAGACAAAGCGGCTTAGCTTAATCCTTCCAGAGAGTAAAGAGCCTTAATACTCCCTACGTGTATTGATTTATCCTTCTTCTTACCCTATCTTCCCTACCTTCAGCCCGTTCCCGACGGACTTCACGTTTAGTCTTGACTCTTGATGATTAACTATCGACAATTCGCTCAATAAGCTCTTCTAATGGCTTCTTTCCCTGCGTCGACCACATCTGCTTCCGCTTACGCCCTCACGACCGCGTTCTCAGCTCCAACACAATGCGCCGAGTCCGTAGGTGGATTAACGATGCTGGAACGTGACCAGTTCAGAATATGGCTTAACCATCCCTTGCCAGTACCCTTGACGACAATATCATCATGTTATCCCACGCAATTTATGTCAAGTTTCTTGCTCCAAACGTCTGGTGTCTCCCAAGTAGCTTTCAGTCCGCTAGTTTGCCCGGTTGGATATACAACACAGGGAATCTACACATCGAACTACATTGCTTGCTGTCCAAGGTTCGTCGTACACAATAGACACTGTGCCATGTTTCTTTTGCTGACATCTGATTATCAGCGGCTATGGCTTTGCTCCGGCGTCGAATCCGCCATCTAATCGTCCCGCGTTTGGCGGAACGTGCTACACAAATATCTTCAATGTCCCTATTCAGATCACATCCTACGATTCCGAAAGCATTCAAGCGTCGTCCTTATTCACAGCAACGGGGTCCTTAGACCAGGCATATGCCTTTCCCTACGAAGGCTTTGAGCTAGACAAAGCTACCCTTACAGGCATCACGTCTACAGGTAGCCAAATACCCATTTCAACAACAACCTCGCCCCCAACGGGATCCTCAAAAGCAAAACACAGCTCGGCATTGAGTACAGGAGCACTTGCAGGAATCATCATCGGGGCCGTATTTGCGGCTTTGCTTCTCACGGGCGCCGTGGTAATAATGCTAAAGTATAGGAAGAAGCGGATGTCAAGTAGCAAAAACAGGTCGAGTCCAGATCCATCGCCATTAGTGCACGATAAGGATCTGGTCGGTCAATACGAGGGTACTGAATTACAAGGAGTAGCCGAGAGGAATGTTGAATTACAAGGAGAAGCCGAGAGGAATGTTGAATTACAAGGAGAAGCCGAGAGGAATGTTGAATTGGAAGCGGAAGCAAGGAGGCATGTATATGAAATAGACGGAGTGCAGTCTAATCAGTTTAGGACGTTAGACTAAACTGGATAATTAGGCTCGAAAGTCTATTAAGCCGATAATTTAGACTAGACTATAACGAATTAGGGTACTATAACTAAAAGTCTAAATTAGTATATTATAAGTTACTCTTATTAGGTAATATTAATATATAGACTATATAGGAGTTAATACTAATATATTTTATAATACATAAAAATATAAAAGAACTTATATTAGATAAAAGTTTAATATTTTAATTTTAATTTTAATTTTAAGAAATTAACTAGAAATTAACTTTATTTATATAACTCTTAATAATAAATAGTTAGATTATTTTTAAGAGTATTTAATTATATAATATTATATACTATTTTTTAGATTATATAATTAAGAAGATTTCTCTAATTATATAATCTCTTTTTCTTAAACCTAGCTTATAAAACCCTAGTAATTACTTTCTTATATGTATAATATTTATTATTTCTTTACTTTCTATAATAGCTAGTATTATATAATTAATATAGATGCGGTTTTAGCTAAAGGAATTAGTTTTAGCTAAAGTTTCAAGTTATAGTTCAAATTAAGCTTATTTCTAAAGCTTAGTATTTTAATAGTCTTAGCTATATTTATTTATCTACTATTATATCTTATTTCTTCTCTTTTTAGCTTTAGATTTTATAGAATATTAGAATTATAGATCTTTAAATATTATTCTATTACTTTATTTCTACTATTATATAATCTAAAGCTTTTATTTTTTAAATAATAGTTATTATTATTATTATTATTATTATTATTATTATTATTATTATTATTATTATTATTATTATTATTATTATTATTATTATTATATAATACTATTTATAGTTTTTTATTTATAAAATATTAAAAGGCTCGATTTTAGCTAATTTAATTTCTTATTATTTATTAAAGCCTCTAATTTACTACTTTATTAATTTTTTAGTACTAACTTTATTAATATTTCTTTAAAAATAGATATCTTTTAAATATAAATCTAATATAAGTTTAATAGCCTATATTCTAAAATTACTATTCTATAAATAGCTCTTATAAAAACCCAAGCTTTTCGGTTCTATTTAAAGCTCTTTAATTCTAAAAAGTTTACTAGAAATATTTATAAATTTAATATTTAGTTATTTTCTATTAAAGTAAAACTAATTATTAATAATATAATAATTAGAAATATTATAATTTAATTCTATTATATTTGCTTAAACCTTAATTTATTTATCTAATTAATAGTTCTATTATAGCTTTTCTATATAAAATATATTTAATTATAAAATTATTAAATAATTCTAGATTAGCTTTTATAAATATATAATAATTCAAATAAATAATTAGAGGCTAAAAACAAGTTCTATATTCTTTATTAAAATAATAATTCTCTTTTTATTTATATTACTAAATTTAAATATATTCTATATAAAGCAAATAGCTAAAGCTAATTAGATATTAATAAAATATCTAGCTTTTATAATAGTTTTAATTCCCTAATATATTCTTATTTAATATAGTAATTTCCTATAAACGGCCTAATAGCTCTTATTAAAAATAGCTGCTTTATTATACTAGATTATTTCTAGAATTACTAGTAATTCTATAAATATTAATAAATTAATAATTAATATTATTATACTAGTAATTAATATTCTAGAGTTCTCTAAACTAATTTTATTAGCTATATTAGCTCGTTTTATATTAAAGGAACTCTACTAATATTATTATTAAACTAGTAAATGTATTAGATATAGATTTCAAGATTACTTTATATTACATAGCAACTGTATACTAGTGGTCACGTGCAGGCTCACGTGACTACATTCCTGTTTTTAAGCTTTGGCTACTTATACTATACCTCTATTTCCTCTTAATTAATCTATATATTATTATTATAATACTTTATTAAGAACTATAGCTTGGCTCCTATAAGTACTACTATTTCTGGTTCTTATAAATAAGTTATAACTATTATTCTAATTCTAGTAATAATTTTAGTAATTCTAGAAAAGAGCTAATCTTGGATCCGGCTTTTAACTATATATAGAAGACTAATTTTATAGCTAGTAATTAAAAATAGAATTCTTTTCCTTTATTCTATTATTTTTATTATATTTACTTTAGCTTTTCTTTTATTTTACTATACTAGTACTCGGGTTAAGCTTTTTTAGAAAAGGAAATAATATAATAGCTAGTATTATATAGTTAATATAGATATAGTTTTAGTTAAAAGAATTAGTTTTAGCTAAGGTTTCAAGCTATAATTCAAACCAAGCTTATTTCTAAAATTGGGTATTTTAGTAATCTTGGCTATATTTATTTATTTATTACTATATCTTACTTTTTCTCTTTTTAGCTTCAAATTCTATAGGATATTAGAATTATAAATCTTTAAATATTATTCTATTACTTTATTTCTGCTATTATATTTTTCCTTTTTCTTCTTTTCTCTTTAGCTTTAAATTCTTATATATAAATAAAATCTAAGAAATTATAAATAGTATATTATTACTAACTTATTTATATCTTATATCTCTTATATATTATTATAAGTTATAATATAAATATATAAAAGTATATATTATAGGCTAAAAGAATTATTTTTATAGAACTAGTATAAAGGAAATAAAAAGAATAAATAGGAAAAGAAAAAGAGTTTCTAAGTCCCTATTTAAGTATAATAAGATTATTATCTATTTTAGTACTAAACCTTAACTAGAAAAAGTAAAAAGGCTTGGTAGATTATATACTAGTCTTACTAAATATAATATCTAGATATTATATATATAAATTCAAGTTTAAATCGAATTTTTTAAACCCCTTTTTACCCCCTGCCCTTATACCCTAAATTTTGTTTCCCGATTACCGTAGTTGGTAAGTTATAGCATAATAAAATCTATTTTTATAGAGGTTCTATTCGGGATCCTTAGGAGCCCTAAAGAAGCTTCTAGGAATAGTTGTCAAAACTTGACAAAAGTAATATAATGCGCGCCCGAAGCCAATATCTAACCTTATTAGTTAAGTAGGTACTGCTCAGGTTATTCAGGTTGCTCAGGGACTGCTTATGGACTGCTCAGGTTGCTCAGATAGCTCAAGTGAGCTGCCTGAGCCGGGAGTGAGGCGAGGGTGAGTAGCGCCTAACGAGCCTGATCGCATAAGTCTGTGCTTTTAGGGCATTTCGCTAACGATTGTTCACTGAAGAGAACTTTGACAATTCCGACTTTTTTCATAATTGCTTAGGATAAGGTTTCTAAACCCGATTTAACTTCTTTTATTTTATGCGCTCGAGTTTAAAGAAAATAGGGTTAGTAGTTCTTAAATAAATACAAGGCAAAGTCATCGACTTTGGTTTCGCAAGGCCTGGAAACATCGCTAAAAGCACAGACTTATGCGATCAGGCTCGTAAGCAAGAGTGGCAAGCTTACCAACCGAACGTGGCACGAAGATTGAGGGTTTAGAGTTCAACTACCATGGACCGAACGACCTCAGCCAACTCGAATGCCCGCTTGTTTCCGCACCAAATACCAGAGTGGCATACTAGTGCTTCAGCAAATATTATCATCGGCTCCCGCATCAGAGTGTTGTCACACTCAATAGCAATCTGTAAATTCCAACGTACGATGTCCAATTGGACGATCGAGAATCGTCGAGTCCCGGGTAGTCTGCTGTGTATGGCGCCTATCACAATCATTGCCGCAATTAGGGGAGATGGTAAGTCGTCATCCGTGTCGACGGTGGCATGGTGCAACACCGGTGCTTGTGGAGAAAACCGCTCAAAGAAGAGGTTGATAAAAATATTAACTTCAGGCAAGGAAGGAAGTTCAAGGTGAGGTCTGGCGAATCCCTGAATAATAAGGGGATTTACGAATGCCTGAACTCGTCGAAATGTAGACTCGGTAATTTCGAATCTGGTGTTATGGTTTCTCCACAATGGGTGATTGTCCGGAATCCTATTTCAGGTATTGAAATACGGCGCGTAATTAATTAATCTTGTCGCCCGCAGAAATAATCCAGAAAATATGCGCGTACTACAAAAATGATAGAACTCTTAAAGGGCTTAAAACTCGAACTCTAAATTAATTCCTAGCCTCACTAGTTCTCCGAAACCCATCCAAAACGATCGGCCCTTAACGAGATCCTCTACCTAGCCCTTAATCTACTCCAATATCATCTTCCAGTAGTTCCTCCTCACATCCTTAATAGAATATACATTTACTATAGCAATTAGAATCGGCTCCTAATACTCCTGTACTTTTGTAATTTGCCTTCTAACTATAGTTATTCCAATAACCCGCTTGTACAAGACACTCTTTATATGAGCTACTAGAACTATTATTACCTAAAGTCCATATTTGTCCTGCGACCCCCTCTCTATTACAAATAATATTCATAGCCGTATCGTTTGGTATTCCTTTATTATCTTAATAATAATAAAATTAATAGTAAGAGTATATAGAAGCGGAAGATACTTCTAAAATAAGAAGTAGAAATAGTATTGCCTTTATAATAAGTAGATTTAATTATAATTATAATTCTAAAAATATATTAATATATTAAAAAGCTATTAAAAATATATATATTTATTAATAAAAAATAGTTCTTACTTATAAGATCTTTTAAAAAGCAAGAGGGTATTTTATTATCTTAATAAAGTTATAAGATATATAATAGTAGGATACTATATAAGTAATTAAGGTAAATGAAATTTAAGATATAAAATAAATATAGGAATATAATTAATTTTAAGAACTAGTTTCAAATAATAAACTAATTAATACCCATTTCTAAAGTTCTGGTTTCCTCTATATATATTACCTAGTATTTTACTAGATATATAGAAATACTAGTCTTAATTAGAGAATATAATTTCATATAAATACTAGCCTAATTAGGCTAATAAATCCAGTCTTCTAATATTTACTATTAATATATATATATTATAAAAGTAAAGTTTAAAGTAGCTATTATAGAAAGGAAACTATAATAAAACAAAAACCTATATAAAGTATACTAGAATATAA